AGGTAGAAGGGGGAACTTGGTAAAGAGGGGTTGGAGTTTGCGAGGGGTAAAAGGTTGAACTTAAGGAGAGAGTAGGCCCTTGGTGGAAAGAAGAAGGGTGGTAGGTCAGGTAGTGGTGAGGCTGAGGTGATTCGAAGGATGGGTAAGTCCAGGATGGTGAGGGGTCGAGAGTTTGTGGAAAGGGGAAGTGGAAGGTTCTGACACGACAAATGTGAACCAGGTGAGGGGTGAAAGGAAAGGAAGGGGCTAGAAGGGCAGAGATGAGGGTTGGATCAGGAGGAGAGGGGTTCGTGGAATGGACTGCAACAATGCTGAAGGGGAATTGAGACCACTCCATGGGGTTGTCGGAGGTCGCAAAAAGTGTGGGTGATAGAGGAGGAGAATCTTCAGAAGTGGCTGTCTTAAAGGGCGTACTAAGGGAGACACCAGGGGATAGAAGGGGTTTGAAGTCTAGGAAGTGGGCTCTCGACGAGGGTCATCCTCAAGAGAGAGGATGGTAGAGGGAGGGCAGTTCTGAAGTAAGGTTGAAGATGGAGATACGGAAGAGTGAGGCAGAGACGAAAAGGCGGAAGAGCAGATGGGCAGAAAGAGGATGATAAGGTGTGGGGAGATGGGAGAGGGGGGGGGGGGGGCAATCAAGACGTCAGGAGAGTCTGTTGGGATCTCGAGGTGACGAAGCTCGAGGGGAGGGCAGGTGTTGCCAAAAGGGCTAAGGGGGAAGGGCGGCACCTCTACTACCGATGGCAAGAAAATATCGGGGCTAGGTGAGGGAGACAAAGGGGATGAAGGAGGCGGCAAAGGGTGAGAGGTGTCAGTAGGGCAGGTAAGTTGACAGGAAGGAGGGCGGGCGGCGTCGACAAGTGTCGAGTGGGGTTTAGGGTCTCCAGGGATATGAGCCTTCAGGGAAGGTTGAGAAGGCGGGAGAGGGCAGCTGGCAATAAATGGGTTAGCCCTATGAGACGGTGGGCCTGGCCCTGCTGAATGGCCCGACGACTGAGGCAAGGGGGGGGGGGGGGGCGTTCGTGGTCAACTAAGACACCTTTGCCGTGGCGGTGTGGAGGGGAGCCAAGTGGCACAAGTAGGGCCATAGGAGCAACCAGCGCTGCTTAGGGGGACTTGAGCAAGACGGAGAAGGGGTGATGCTTGAGCTCGAGGCCAGCTGGATGGCGTCTGGTCGTTGGGCGGACCTGCCAAGGAGGACGGCTGGTGGCGCTGACTAGGGTGGCGGTGTTTCCTTGAGGCTGAGATCCAGGATGAGGAGGAGGGACCCTTAGGTGGGGGAATGTCCGCAGGTTGAAGAAATTGGGTGAGGGCAGAGAAGCTGCAGACCACGAGAGAGTAATAGGAAAACAAAGATCTTCAACTTCTAACCAGATGGTGGAGGGGATGAACTTTGTGTTGAGGACCTCCAGGAGTAGGCAGATAGAGCCGAGCTGCATAACTTGGATGGATTTCTAGTGGATTTCTACCAGAGCACCACATGCCTCTGCCACTCTCTTAAACTTGGAGGGAGACCTCGCGTGTAGAGGGATGTTGTCCACTGTGAGCCAAACTCTTTGTTTTTGGAACGACCCATCCTTTGGTTAAGGCTGCCCCTTTGAATGAGTGGGTGGGGGGCTCTTGTAGAGCTCGGTGGGCACTCTCGTGCAAAGGGAAGGTGGAAAGTATTTCTCTGCTAGAGATGTGGTGGCAGCTGAGCTTGGGCACTGCCCAAAACCGTTGAGCCCATTCTCTACCCCCCCGATGTCATCCCGTCTTGGTAGGAAGTGTCCCACCAGGGAAGAAAGAAGTTTGGATTTGAGAGGGGTTGACTCCTTTGCAGGGGTGGAGATGATGAAGGGGAGAAACAGAGGAGAGGTCCCTGGGGTTGGAGGTATAACACTAGAGAGGGGTGGTGGGGTTCAGGGAGCTGGGGGAGGATAGGGCGGGGCTGAGGCGACAACCTGTGCGAACGAAGCCTTCTGCGCGAGCTGAGCCTTCTGGAGAGTCGGCTTGGGTCCCCGAGTAAGGTGGAAGCAATGGTTGAGAAGGTGAAAGCAATGGTTGAGAAGGCAAAGGTTTGGGGTAAAGGTTATAGATCTTATTCTTGTCAAGGGGCGGAGGGAGACGAAGATGCTTCCTCCTCTTCATGATGATTCCCAAAAGTAACTTCCTTTTCAGAAAATAAAAATGCCATGTTTAATCTTGTGTGTGATCATGGAGTAAATAATGAGATGAACAGTGTTTTGCAAATTTATGCTCACGGCTTGAGTGGCTGGCATATTAATTGAAAGGTAGACATATATTAATTGAAACTTCAAAATTGAAGGGTCGCTTCGCTAGAGCATGAGATGATCTAGCCTCTTGCATTTTGCATCCTGCTATATGCATGTAGAGTTCATTTTTGGAAAGTAAAACTACATATAGAGTTCTAAATATTACATGGAGAAGCTGTTATGAGTGAAAAGAAGGTAGCAAGAAGCTTAAGAATATTCTGACAGGGCTGATTAGACTTTCATGCTACTACAAGTAACAACTTGTATATGTTGACATTCTGTAGAAAGCATGGAGCTATAGGATGTTGGCGTCGCTACACTTAATTTAGGTGTATATATATTTTAATTGAGAGTTAATTTATTCATTGATGGAAGTGAAAATTATACATTCATATGTGATATGAAAAATCTAAGAACCGTGTTGATAAGTATTTCATGTCATTTGATGTTGATAAGTATTCCATATCATTTGAGATGGTTATTGTATATGACATACTTTTGTTATGGTTGATTTCAGAATACTCAATTGTAATGCAAAAGTTGTAGAGTACTACTAAAATGCTTCCACTGTTACTAGTTTTTTGCTAGATAACCACTAATCCGGTCAAAAATCCATTATGTTGGCTGGTTTCAAAAATCAATTTAATTTTGCAAAGGAGAAAGTCAATCTCAAGTTTTTCTGAACTTGTCTAAGCAGTCTGCATTAAGTGGAGTGTACTTCAAGCACCTTCTAAGGCTGTATCATGTAATTCTTCTTCTAGATGATGAAATGGACAATTGTTTGTTTCATAGTGGAGTTTGCTAGAAAATTCAGCATTACTTTTAAGTTTGAATCAGTCTTTCTGAATATCAGCTTGTTCTTTTAAGTTTTCTAGCATTCCTTATTGTGACATTAAAAAAAAGGACAAAACATTCCTTAGTGTCAAGTGGATTGTCACATGTTATGCAGTTGTCTCTTTTAAGTGATGTTCAAGAATGTATGAGTGCTAGACTCAAATAATCGTAGGTTGGTCTCTTTGGTGGAGGAATGCCCCGATCTCACCCTTGCCGCCCCCCCAAAAAACGAAAAAAATTCAAAAAAAAAAAAAGGAATACAAAGAAAAGAAAAGAAAAGAAAAAATCTCTTCTGCTTCTATTGCACTTACCTTATGGACATCTTTTGTAATCTGGCCCATAGTTACTAGGATCACCCAAGAATGTGGTTGCTCTAGCTTCAAAAGCTCGATCATGTGCTCAGGGACAAGATATCTCGATTACAAACCTTTTTGAATTTAGGGATATCGATTGGGATTCTAGTTCCCTGGTTAATGGGATTCAAATCCCGCTCATCCAAATTTTGGGTCCATGAGTAAGTGGAATTGAGCCTTCACCAACATGGAATCAAGTTTCTTGTACATTGGTACGGAGGATCACCAACAAATGTTGAGGTCCCGCCATGGCAATGAGGGTTTGAAGCTTGAACTTTAAATTTTGAACTTGTAAGTCACGAAAATAAACACCACAACATACAAGCTACTGCCATGTTATGCTATGGAACCTGTATATGAAGGAGAGCGGCTGCAACACTAAAGCTTTGCCATGTCCTACCTTGAATCCTTTCTATTTCACTTATTGGAAGCTTTAAGGGGTTTATATAATTGATCCTTGTTTCTAATTTAGCCATATCCACCATTACAAAGGCCTTTACAGGGTGACCCTTTGTTCACCTCTATACCCTTTTTTCCTTTGTATCTAGAGGTTTGACCAATTGCATACCCAATTGCATATAAGTGAAAGGCTCCAAACAAGGGAGAACGTGGACACCACAACTTCTTTCATGCTTCATTTTCATCAAACAATTGAGCTTCTTTCGTGCCTGAGGACGGAAATTTGATCCTCATTTTGGGTTTTCAGTTTTGCTTTTCACTTATGGAGCAAACTTCAATGATAACAAAAAAATTTAAAATATTTTAAAAATGGGATTCTTTGGATTATTTGAGACTTTGGCTGTTGGATTCAGAAAAAAAATAATCATATCGTTCAACAGGCTTTGTTCCCGAGCATGAGTACCCTAGTTAGGTGCTCTAGGGGAGACTCGATTTTAAGCTGGATGGACCTCGAGCCCATATACCTTGTCATTCGATGCTAGATGAAGTTGGATTGCGCCCCCTTCATATTGGGAGCAAGATACCTTTAACCCAAAGTGTATGGATCTTGATCCCTATCCTACGAATCTTCATTCATCTCTCGATCCCCCGCTTCCGATCCCTTTCCGGAATCTGACCTTGTTCTTGATCCCAGTAACTATAATCTGGCCACCTCCTCAAATGCCGTAGCAATATGACTCCTCTTTGGGTCGAAGGTCGAGGGCGGTGATCTAAGCATGCCAAAACACTTAAGCTTTCAATAGGATGTGATTAGGTGCATTTTCTTGTATTTGCCAGTGGTATCACCTTTGGATCACTCTTTCAATGGAAAATAAATGTTGGTTTTTAGCTTTCAAGTTTGGGTAGCGTCCATTCTGCAATTGTAAGCTTGTGTTTTACCACTATGCTCTGTGATTTTGAGCCCTGTTTCATTCACATTAATAATGTCATATAGTATATAATACTTGCTACAACAACTTTTTGAGTTTGTTTTTCTGTGTTTGGTCTTCTATTGATGTGAAAACTGTCTACCTTTCTTCATTTAATTCCATCTCATATTACAAATTGGTGTTGTGATATTTGTTATAATTTTTTCTTGGATGCATATGGCTCTTAACAGGGAACTTCTACCCTTGATAACCTTGATGAGTGGAAATGGAAATTGACCAAGCTCATCCGGAATAAGGAGGAGGAGGAAGTGGTGTCGAGGGACAAAAAAGACAGACGTGACTATGAGCAACTTTCAGCATTAGCTACTAGAATGGGCTTGTATTGGTATATGTTATGTTCATTAAGAATTTCTATCAGTAATTATTTTGCACTATTCAGTTCTTTTTTCCCCCCCTTTTCTCTTTTCAATCTAAGTTCTGGCCTTGGTTGTGATCTCCAGTCGCCAGTATGAAAAAGTAGTGGTTGTAAGCAAGCTCCCGCTGCCAAACTACAGATCTGATCTCGATGCTAAGCGGCCCCAGAGGGAGGTATCTTCTCATGTCTTAGTCCTTTCCTGTTTCTTATGATAATCAGAATTAAGTTTCACTGGAATGTATTGCTATTCTGTTCTTTACAAACTTGAAATTAATTTTCACTGGAGTGGCATTGACATTCACAAGCATCATTAGGTGCTTATTCCCGTTGGTTTGCAAAGAAGAGTGGACTCTCTGCTAGGCGAGTTTCTTTCTCGAAAACCTGTGAATAGGGGAAGCTTTTCAGAGATTTCTTTTACAAGTTCGAGCAGCAATGGTAGTCTCAACACCAATGAAGATGGGCTTCTTGAAACACCTGAGCCACGACGACCTGCTAGTTCTGTCATGGAGAAAATTCTCTTGCGGAGAAGCCTGCAACTTCGCAACCAACAGCAGGCTTGGCAGGTTCATTTTCTTGAACCAAGTGATTGTGTTTAATTACCAGAATTAGGTGCTTTGTATTCTTCATGTGGTTTTCTACAGTCGTATCTTAGTGGTTGTTATTTTATTTTATTCATAGTGATTGGGTTTTATCTGGTTGCCAATTTGTTTTTATTGTTATATAATGCGCATTAGACGACTTTCCATGATAAAAAGAGATCAATTTTTTCCTATATTCAAGATTTACTTAATTTCTATATTCTCAAATCCTGCACTGGGGGACCAATTTTTACACTGCTGAGAATGGTTAATCTTTTTCTTTTCAGTAACTTCTGCATATATGTACAGTTGACTTCCTCTTTACGAAGTAAAATTTATAATATGTTTGCAAGTTTTTGGCTGGATACTGAGGACCTGCCTTGTATTGTTAATCGTGTTTTATAGGAATCACCTGAAGGTCAAAAGATGATAGATTTTAGAAACAGTTTACCTTCCTACAAAGAAAGGGATGTATTATTGAGAGCTATATCAGATAATCAGGTGAGCAATCCTACTGGAATCTGGATATGCCTTTTTTCGAGAAGGGTTTCATTTTTTGACCTTTTTGTATTTTCTGAAAATCGTTAATGTCTTCAAATTTGTTAACTCTTGTTATTTTCTTTCTTGTTTCCTTTGTAGGTCCTCTACATTTATTATATAACTTTCTGTGAACACGTGAGGTTTAAATCCTTGACAAATTTAACATTGCAACATAAATTTTTTGGAAAATCTCTCTCTCCTGTGAAAATTGGATGGTTGGAGGAGCGTCTGATTAGGCAAGAGGCAAGGGATAAACACAAATAGGAAGAAAAAGACTTGACATGTTTTGAAAGAGCTAGGGAGAAAAAAATGGGAAGGGAATGGGATATTTGAAGTTCTTAGAAAGAGTTTTAGGATGTTAAGAAATAAGAACTTGAAATATTGAATAAGTTCCATTGGAATATATTATTTAGTGATTCTCTTCAAAATTGGAATTCCCATAAAAATGGAAATTAGAAGATTTAGAGAGGGCTTTTAGCCATTCAGATGTTGAATGAATCCCATCTAATTCTATGTTTTGTTAATATACTATAGGGATCTAATAGGTATGCTGATCAAAACAAGTATGTAAGAGCTCTCACTGATGAAAACAAGTTTTGGCTGTCTTTACTTTTAATACTTTGCCTAAAAATAATTTCAATCATTTTATGCCACACAAAAGCTAGTTTGCATTGCATGGCGCTTGTATGTCAAGGCTGATGATTTGCATGTTAAGGAAGAGGGCAAAAATTGCTGTTTATATTATTACAGAATGGATCAATGACCATTACCAACCAGCCATTGTTCTGTTGTCACTTGGCTACTTGTGACATTTACCTAGTACAATCTCGTAATATTTGAGAGTACTCGTTAATTTTTTTTATTTTTTAATTATATCGGCAGGGTATTCCTACAATACAACTTACACACCTCTCTCCTTTAGGGTCACAGTACCATTAAAGGGATATTCTGTGCATTCTACCAACTCCCTGTACATGTTGCAATGTTTAAAAGGATAGCATTGAGTAATATGTCAGAGTAATTTTAATATTGAAAATATAATAAATCCCATTTTTGGTGGCGTGTGTACCACAAGAGCCGTACGGTGTCCATGTGAAGATGACGGCAATATCCACGGACGTGTAGTGATGGATATTGAGAACATAAGCCTGACATAAAGAGAATATTTCTTTGAATATTTTATAAAACAAAGAAAGAAGAGAAACAGCCAATGCTCCTACCTTCGCCAAGGTGCTAGATGCTTGCTTAGGAAGCACCTTGGCTGCATAGGCGGTAGAACTCCTTCCACCTGAGTGGCCTGCCTTTGAGCCTAGGACTCTTGCCTGCTTAGGCAGGTGGCCTGGAAGTTCAGGCGGGCGCCTTTTTCAACAATGATTTTTATTGCTGTTTAATTTTTGTCTAACCATTTTTGAAAATTTTTCTTAAGCTCTGGATAAGCTAAATTCTTTTATAGATTTTTCCCTACTATACAGTTAATTTTGAATGAGAATGAGGTAAAACTTTAAAGAGATTTAGAGGAGATTGGGGCATGATTTATGGAGTTGGACATGATTTATAAAAGAGATTAAATTATAATTTTTCTTGCTCTTATTTCTTAAATAGAGATTTATCTTTTAAATTGCAATTTAATATGTTTTTTACTCTCTTGTTCTCTCTCTGTGCTTGCCCGTGCATTGCACATGCTGCGTTCTAGTCTTTATTAAATGACTCATGATGCATGGACGGCAGTGTGGTCTCTATTGAGGCCTCATGTTTTGATTGGTTTTTGTTGGTAATGCGCCATTTGTTTATGGGTTTTTTTGCGCCATCTGTTTATGGGTTTTGTTAGTTTGGTATAGTTTGGATACATCCATGGTTGACAGAATGATTGGAACAAAGATTATTATTTTTATCATGCACTGCTTTACTTTGTTACAGTGTTTCAAAAAGCGCTAAGCGGCACCTAGGCGACTGGGGGGGTCCAGGCCGCCCAGCGCACTAGGCGAGTGCCTAGAACCTGGGCGGCCCAGTAGAAAGAAAAATGTCTCTACAGTCTAACAATAAACTATATAGCACATAAGAATTAGGGATTTAGGGCACATCAAATGTATAGTACACAAGTCCACATAGCACACGCTCCTCCATACTCCATAATCATAAGTCCATATCAAAAACAAAATCACTAACTTTGATTGCTCGATCTCCAAACTTCCACCTCTAAGATGTTTCTAAAGACTCAAAATGTTCTAAAAGATTCTCTAATAGATTTAGAAAACATACAAAACTAAATCTAATAACAATGGGTGATGCTTAGATGAAAATCTTGTAAATTTGAGAAACCTTTCAATCCTATGGAAATCACAAAAAAAGACCAAAAAATGCCCCTTCAGTATTAAAAAAAGACCAAAAAGTGCCTTCAACAAGGGGCATTTTTGCCCCTGGGAGGGGTCCAGGCCTTGGGCGGCCGACCTGCCTAGGCGGGTTCCTGGGCGCCTAGGCAAGCGCTCAGGGATATCCGCCTAATTGGGCCGCCTAGGCCTGGGCAATGCGCCCAGGCCTTCTAGACCGCCTTGGCGGCTGCCCAGGCGTTGAGCGGTCCGCTTTTTAAATCACTGCTTTGTCAACAACACTTATGTCATTTAGGATGAAACTTGTGCGCTACTGTTTAAATTTAATATTGACTTGAGTAAAGACTAGTGATTGAGAGCTGGGAAGTATGTAGGGGTGTTAAAGGGGTTGGGTTTGGGTCGGCCCTGACCTGGCTAAACTCGTTTATCTTAGCTAGGGACCTGGCCCCCTATTTGGACACGAATGCGGACCTGGTTCTGGACTTGGGATGGTCCGGATCCATTCCACTGGGACGCCACATGGGTTGGCTGTGGTGGACCCGTACCAGACTCTGACCTGAAGTTGACCACCTTTGTACCCTATAGGCTACCCTTTTTTCTAAAGTTATTGAGCCTTTTCAAGAGAAGAAAGGATTCTACTGTTTGCCAAAAATTCTAAGTTTTCATTGATGCTACAAGTTACAAAACCATCAAATGATTGAAAATAATCAATAAACACATATATGATATTAAAAATTACTCAGTATCATAAAAACTAAAAAGATCTATCCAAAGAAAATCAAAGAGGCCACATTATCATGAAAAGGAAAACCTCCAAGACTCGAACACTTCACGACATCTGGCACAATAAGCAAAAAAATTAAGGCATTGATTATAAGGTTTTGGATAGAAATTCTTCATCTGATTATGTGCTTCTGATGAAGAACCCGAGGAATCAAGGGATCTGAAAAACACAAGGAACACAAACCCCCAAGTCTTCCTGTGATCTTATTCCTCTTACTGAGACTCTACTTAAATCTAGGTGTTTTGGGGGAGAGGTCATAGGGTTGGATTGATGTATGAGAAAGTAGAGAAGCCCTAATTTCTTGGCCCTTCATCTCTAAAGAAAGTGCAAAAGTGTAGAGGAAGAAGCAAAATAGAGAGCAGAACTTAGCTAGGGTATGAAAGGAAATGGGACAGACTGGTAAAGTTTTGTAAATTATAGAGAGGTTTACAACATTGGCTTGTCCTATATACAGTAATATAATATAAATATTTATGTTAGACAATATTTATTATAATAATATTTACTTTTTTGGAGAACGGCTCTAGACAGAGCTGTCAGGGTGGGAGTTGCCGCAAAGTGAAGTATTGAGTTCCATGCTCACCAGGTCCCAAGTTAACATTCAAAGCAAAAAGGAAAAATGGAGTCCTTGATATATTCATGATATATTCTCTATGGTCTGGTGGAACGACTTCAAAACATAATATCTAGTAACTTATGCCAAAAAAAAAATGTATGAGGCTAGTTTATTGATGATCAATTGATCACATTAGGACTTGCCCTAGTTGGGTGGTTCCCCAGAATCAGTGTTGTGAGAATCAGATGAGTGACTGAACTGGTGAGGGCACCAGTCTAGTTGGACCAGCCGAACTGGACTGGATCACTGGTCGGACTGGATGAGTAAATTAAGAAAAATTAATAAAAATTTGAAAAAATAAAGGAAAAGGCGAAAACAGAGAAACTTGTGGATACATAAAAAAAATCGAGCAAAATAAAAATTCAAGTAGAGGAAATGAAATATGTGATTCATTATATATTTTAATAGAATAAAAAATTTTAATCTCTTGCATGGTGGCTTTTTTACAATTATGAAAACAACATTAATAAATTGCAGAAGGTTAGAAATAGTAAAGCTTAAAAAGGGAAAATCCCTAATATCCAGTTCTCTCGAAATCAAAAGATCCCTACTAATATAACCTTCAAAGTACATTCAAAACTAAAAAAAGGTAAAAAATTGCTTGGAGGAAAGGACAATGAATTGAGAGAGAGAGAGAGAGAGAGAGAGAGAGAGAGAGAGAGAGATACGTAAAACCGACAAGAAACATTTTTTTCTATAGTAAGAAAAATAATATGAAAAAGCACCTCCAACACAAAAACAAAGCATGTAAAACCCCACAAAAAAACCACGTAAAAACTCACAATTTTTTTTTTTTTTCACGTGAAAAGATATAGGAAAAAGCACCTCCACATAGTGGATATTGGATTGAGATTGAGTCATCAATAATAAAGGGATTCAAGGCTCATTATATGATTTCTTGCAAAAACCCACATAAGAATTCAAAATTTTTCTGTTGTTTCCAACATTGAATCGACCAATAAAAAAAGTAGTTGAGTATACTTACTTGGGCTTCAAAAAATAGCAGATTTATGGCTGGATTTGCTGTGGAAAATTGCTTGGAAAAAGCCCTAATGACTGGAGTTTTGGTAGAGAGAGCAAAAGTTCCCCAAATGAGCTCTCTCTAAAACTTCGTTTTCCAAAACTCCATTTTGCTCTTTAATTAAATTTGTCAAAAATTGCCTTAAATGATTTAAAAATAACCAAATGAAATATGATGAACACGAGCAATTTCAGTAGAAATAAAGGGCATAATAGAGAAATAATGGACCATTCGGTCCACTATGTTGGACTAGATTGGACAAGTGAACGGTTGACCGGTTTCCGGTTAGACCTGGCTCGTTTGGTCTGGCTCTTACAACATTGTCGAGAACCGGATGTTTATTTGCTAGGTTTAGGTGCAACGGCCTGGACCCAAATGGTGGGTCTAATACGCCAAGTCATGTCGACCATTATGATTCCCCTAGAATAAGGGAAAGGTAATGGTCTTTGTGAACTTGATACACATACTTGAATGTGTTTAACATCGTTACACTTGATGAGTGTTAATAATTTATTAGAGAATCAAATAGTGCACAATGGGTCATATACCTTCCATGACAAGACCACCCTAGAAGATTTCCATATTCTAGAGATGCTGGGATGCTCTCTAGCTTTACATCAACGGAGCTTTTAAAAAATATGCATGGCATTGAATTTGTGCATGCTGGACCTTCCTAGATGGCCGACTTTGGTTGCTTGTTGCCTAGGCTATGACTCCAAGATGCTGCTTCGTGTCTTTCAATACATAAGCACCATGTATTTCATCCTTCTTAATTTCATGTTTCTTAATTTGTTTTCTAATTCGGTATTCTATTAAATGTAGAGCACTGTTACCCTAATGGAACATGTGACTGGCTTTATCTGATTATATGAATACATCTATTACTTCTAGTGACATATTTGAGCAGCAACAACTTTAAATATGAAGCTGTTTGCCTGGATACTTTATGGCTACTATCCAACTTAAATTGTAGCTGGTTATGACTTCAACAGTTCCATTGAATTTTTTTAATTGTTCATTGATTTCAATTTAGCCTGTTATTCATTGTTACTTCCTGAATTTATATATCAAATTCTGTACCTGCATATTTTGTGGGTTTAAAATAGTGTGTTAATGTGCTCATACCTGTGTGTATGTGTGTGCTCGCGCACGTGCTTGCATGCATGCACTGTGGTTGCTTTCTAAGAGTAATTTTCCTGAAGTGTGAATATATATTTTGCAGGTCATTGTTGTTTCTGGGGAAACTGGTTGCGGTAAGACAACCCAACTTCCTCAGTATATTCTGGAATCTGAAATTGATGCTACTCGTGGAGCACTTTGTAGTATAATTTGTACTCAGCCTAGACGGATATCAGCCATGTCAGTTTCCGAACGAGTTGCTGCAGAGAGAGGAGAGCAGTTGGGGGAATCCGTGAGTTTTCACTCTGCATTGGATTTATTGGAGTTCTCTTTCATGGTTTTCTTATATATCTATATATGTCCTGCTTCCAGGTTGGTTACAAGGTTCGGTTGGAGGGTATTAAAGGGAGGGATACTAGACTTCTTTTCTGCACTACGGGGGTTTTGCTTAGAAGATTACTGGTTGACAGAGATCTTAGAGGTGTAACTCATGTTATTGTGGATGAAATCCATGAACGTGGCATGAATGAAGGTATGCTCCCTTTCTTGAGTTAGTTTTGGGTAATTGTCTTATTGGTGCACATGAACCTCCTAACTGCTGTGTTTGTTACTTCAGATTTCCTGCTTATTGTCCTAAGAGACCTCCTTCCCCGTAGACCAGAGCTGAGGTTGATCCTGATGAGTGCAACCCTGAATGCTGAGCTTTTCTCGTCCTACTTCAGTGGTGCACCAATGATGCACATACCGGTAAGTTTGAGGCTTTCAAAATTGATAAACTAATTTAATGACCAAACACTGACGATGTTGAACATGTGTAAGTAAACAAAATAACTTGCTTGTCCTTCTGGTTATGTTCTTCCTTCCTGATTATGGTTGTGCCGCCTTAGCTCTGTTTGATCAGTCTATCAGTTGTTAATGTCATTCCCAATAAAAAAAGTTTGATTGTTAATGTTTATGTATTGCAATGGTTCTTGTATCCTCTTGATATTATACTTGCTGTGTCTGTGGAAGTTTAAGTTTAATTATGGTTTCTTGCTTTGGATATTTGGATCTTATTTGTGTTTTTCTTTTATTGGTATCTACTTGTTACTTGCATGAAAATATATTGTGTTGCATATGTTATTTGTTATTGGAAGTATGATTTTCTCTGTTTGTTTATTAAACGAGTGATTTTGTCTCATAGTCTTTTCATTTTAGAGTTTGTTTCAGCTTGCAAAATATTTATTAAAAGCGTTCAATTTCTCACTCTGTTTTCATCTAGTCACAAGATCAACTATCACATTCTGTATTGACCAAAGTATGTTCTCCTGAGGGAATTTGATTGGACCTTGTTAGGTATAGGATGCCATTCATTTGATTCATTTTAGCATTTTGGAGTGGGGCATCACTAACTTGAAGTAACGAACTTGTTTTCGGTGCATTAGTTTTGTAGGATTCTAATAAACAGTTGTCCATTTGAAGTATATGAAAGGATTAGAGCTATTATCTAGAGTTGACATGTTGTGCGGAAAGTTATGGGGCACATTATGAGTGTTGTTTATGCTTATTGACTCGGTCTAGACCTCTTGGCTTGAGAGACAAGGGATATTTGTAACTTAAGGTGGATTCCACGATGACACTCGTGTTTTTACCCCCCCTACTTTTTTTGATCAAGTTAGTTGGCTGGAATTACTTCTGGTATACAAACAAAAGGAATTGCTTCTGGTTTTGGTATCATTAAGTGGCTTACGGAAGTAAATGCATTGAGGATTTCGGATTTGTTTTATTTCTAAAGAATCTTGAAAGAAAATAAAACCTCGTGAGAGAAGATGCTTGGGAAGCAAGAAAGAGAGTTCCAGTACATCTTGTCCCTGGGAAAGGTCAATATCTGTGACCACTAATCTTTATCTCAGTGGTTTTTAATGCCACCATAAATATATGCTCTCATTGCTACAAGTATTTGCAGGAAACTTTTCTTAGGTGGGCAAGAATCATATGCCTTAGCTGTTGGAGAGTGATTTCTTCATATTATTGGTTACTTTACAAATGTTAGTGGATTATTATATCCTTCTGTCTCTTTTTATTGATAAGTAACAGTGGATTATTATCTCTCTCTCTATTAGTGCTCCAAGGTTTTTTTTTTCCTTCTTTTAAAGGAGAATATTGGACTGTACTAAAAATGTCTTAAGTAATACATATTATGTGAAAAGGCTACCCATAGGTTGGTAGCTCTTCATAAAAATACAAAATGACTTGCATAATCCTTACAAGAAATTTAAGAATATCACATCCAAAAAATAGTAGCTAGTGGAGAGGCTTCTGTACAAAAACAAAGCTAGAAAGCAGGAGAGATGGAAGGACGTACTGAGAGAGGAAGTCAAGGAAAATTGGGTATGTAGCACGAGGGAGGGCTGAGAGAGAGAGAGAGAGAGAGAGAGAGAGAGAGAGAGAGAGAGAGAGAGAGAGAGAGAGAGAGAGAGAGAGAGAGAGTAGTAGTAGTACGTAGAGAGAAGAGAGAGAGAGAAGAAGAGAGAGTAGTAGTAGAGAGAGAGAGTAGTAGAGTAGGAGGTAGGTAGTAGGTAGGTA